CAGGAGCTGCGTGAGCTCGAGGGGGCCGTCCTCGCCGCGGGCAGCCAGGCCCTGACCGCGGAGGGCGTGTATGAGGACGTCGTCAGGGAGCTCCTGCTGCAAAGGATCGACCGAGGTGAGCCCTGCCCCCTGCCCCTCGCCACTCCGTCCCTGGAAACACTTGCCCTTTGGCCTCAGTCCCGGGCCAGAGGGGTCGGGGTGCTGGCGCCCAGAGGGGCAGTGGCGGAAGCTCCCTGAAGGAGGGGGCCTCGGAGTGAGGCCGTGAGAGCTGTGTAGGGCTTCTCAGAGTGAGAAGCAGGCGGAGTCCGAACTTGAGGACAGACCTCACATGTATTCGCTCAACAGCCACTCCTGTTTTTCTCTGGGATGGCATTGAGACCCCTGAACTCGCAGGAGCCGCGGGGCTAGGAAATGGCTCCAGAAACATCCCCAACCCCCACCTCGGCAGTTCACCCGTGAGCCCGAGCCCGTGACGACTGAGGTGTGAACACTCATGGGCTGAGCGGGAAGCCGCGGTGATCGGGGCGCGTCGGCATCCACGCAGCCGCCGCACGGAGGCTGGAGGCCGCGGGGCCTCAGATGACAGCAGCAGAGCGTGGACTGTGGGCAGTTTGGGTGCAGGCCATAGGGAGCCACAGAGGGTGTGTGAGCAGAGGGTAGCAAGCCAGACTGGAAACCAGGCGGGAGGCCGAGGCCACAGTCCCAAGGGAACGGAGCCCAGCATGGAGGGCGAGGTTGGAGCTGTTGGCTCGGGGTGTCGCTGAAGGCATGAGACGGGGCGGCAAGCCCGGGAGGGTGTGCGGAGGACAGAGGGGAGGCTCACAGAGCCTGCTTAAAGGGCACAGAGAGGCCGGCTGTGGTGGCGGGTTCCCTTCAAATACCAGGAGCTTTATTTATTTATTTATTTAATTTATTTTTTTTGAGTTGGAGTCTCACTCTGTCACCCAGACTGGAGTGCGGTGGCCACTTACGGCCACCGCAGCCTTGACCTACTGGGCTCTGGCGATCCTTCCGCCTCAGCCTTCCAAGTAGCTGGAACCACAGAAGCACACCACCATGCCTGGGTGAATGACAGCAGAGGAGCTTAAGCTCTGATTTTTTAAAGTTTTTTTGCGGAGATGAGGTCTTGCTCTGTTGCCCAGGCTGTTCTTGTATTCCCGGGCTCAAGCAATCTTTCCACCTCAGCCTTCCAAATAGCTGGAACCACAGGCACATGCCACCATGCCCGACTAGTTTTTTAATTTATTGTAGAGACGAGGTCTCACCAAGTTGCCCAGGCTGGTCTCGAACCCCTGGGCTCAGGCAATCCTCTCACCTCCGCTTCCCAAAGTGCTGGGATGACAGGTGTGAGCCACTGTGCCCAACAGGTTTTATGTGTCCTTAAGGGATCCTATCCTCAATTGACTTGTGATGTCTGCCCAGAGCAGCGCCTTGGAAGGCAGGTACAGCTGTGTCCAGGCCTGGTGAGAGTGCAGGGACTGGTTGGCAATGTCTGCCACCGGCACTGACATGGGGAGAGGGGAATCCATGTGGCCACTTTCTTGGGATTCCTGGGTAAGGCTTCTGTGGCCTCTCCGGGAAGATGCAGGGAGGCCCCTTGATTCCTGGGCTTCCCGGGTGTGTCCGGGGTTTGTCTCCTGTTTCAGAACTGGAAAAGGCCCTTGGGGCCAGTGACACGTCCTGCGGTCTGGCTGACTGCCCAGAGGCCCCAGGGGACCAGGAGGGAGCAGGTGAGAATGCCACGGGGCTCCTGGGTCGTACCAGGGAGTTGCTGGGGAGGGCTGAGAAGGCCTGTGGCAGGGGTGCAGGATGGGGTGGGTGCTTGGAGGGGACGGCACAGCTCCTGCATGGGGCCACGCGTGGAGGCTGGGCACTGGGAGCACCTCGGAGCCACAGAGGGGCTGGCATGTGTGTGGGCTCAGCACTGGGGGCGAGACTGGGAGGCTGGCGTCCTGTGTCTGATGCCAGGAGCCAGTGGGTGCCTCCCAGCCACAGCCTGTCCCCACCTGTGAAGGGACCAGGGTAGTTTGGGGTTCATTTGTCACACAGCAGCGGGTGACGCATGTGCTCCCAGGCTGACCCAGGCAGTCTCTTAGGGTCCATCCCTGCAGATGAACCAGTGCAGATTTCCACTGACTTGGAGACATGATTATGCAGTGTTATTATTATTATTATTTGAGTTGGAGTCTCACTCTTATCACCCAGGCTGGAGTGCAGGGGCATGCTCACAGCCAGCGCAGCCTCGACCTGCTGGGCTTGGGCGATCCTTCTGCCTCAGCCTTCCGAGGAGCTGAAACTACAGGCACATGTCACCACGTCCAGCTAGTTTTTGTGATTTATTGTAGAGACGAGGTTGCACCAAGTTGCCCCGGCTAGAGTTGAACCCCTGGGCTTAGGCAAGGATCTCACCTCGGCCTCCCAAGGTGCTGGGATTACAGGCCGAGCCACTGCACCCGGTTTTATTATTTTTTATCTTATATATTTTGGGGGGTTTACATGCATTTTTTTTTTTTTTGAGTTGGAGTCTCACTCCGTCACCCAGACTGGAATGCAGTGACCCCTCCCAGCCACCGCAGCCTCAACCTGCTGGGCTCTGGCGATCTTTCTGCCTCAGCCTTCC